GGTTCCCTTTATTTTGAAACGCCTTGTATGAACACAGCTAAAATATTTTTCTGGGGTCAAGTTTGCATTTTTATTGCAGAGGCAAGGCACGATTTCATTTGTGTAAATTCAGTAAGAGTTAGTTCATGTATTCTGTTTGTTTCAGGCACATTGTTCTCTGTAAAGATATATTTCTCTATATTCCGATTCATTCATCCTGTCTGACCTGTCTCTGGCGGTTTGTTAACTGTTTTCAGGTATTGGTCATCGGAGATGATGTCAAGACCATTGCGGATGAGATTGCCAAGTTCTCGTCCGCTTACACGCACGTTGTAACCTCCGGTGGCATCGGACCAACGCACGATGACATTACATTCGAAGGTAAACGCATCAATATTCTGGCCATGTTTTATAATGTGTTATTGCCTGTTTAATCCTCCCTCCTAAAAAAATTTAAAACCTTCTAAGTCACTCCCAGTGCATCATTGGTCTTGGAGTAGTTTTGAAAACGCAGTGTAATTACAATATATACAAAAGTACATCCTTTTCTCCTTATTTGAATAAGTGCCGTCGACAGGCCGTTAAACTGTAAGGAAAAAACATTGACACAAGTTGTGATCCCCAGAGAGAAATTCCAAGCATTCAAATGTAATCCGAAACTTTCTTATTTGGCCAAGCGCAAAATGAAAGTAGTTTCTTGTCCCTACCTGCTTGTTTTTTTTCTCAACTCACATCACTTTTTTCTGCCTTGTTTATTCAGTTTACTACATATTTGTGTGCAAAACAAATGAATTCACGTTTACCGGGGTACCATAGTTATGATTATTCAAGAATTTTGGTTCCTTGTTTAATTGAAGTATACATGTATGAAGTTTCCCTTTGTTGTTTTTAGGCGTTGCCAAGGCGTTTGATGAGCCAATCCAGGCCCACCCAGAACTGGTCCGTCTCTGCAGGCATTACTTTGGCGATGACAAGGACCTGAGCTCGCCCGAACTCAAAATGGCTCACGTAAGAATGCAGAAATCCCAAACGTTGCCCATGGCTATGCAACTACAGGTTCTGTACACCTGCCTGTAGACTCTAACCAAGTTGATGGCTTTGAAATCTCAGTCTACACATGATATTTCATAATGCTTGAGCAAAGACTAAGGCTTGATTCAAGTCACCTCTAGCTGCGTTGACCACATTTTCTGATTGGATTTCAGGGGACATGCTTTTTTTTACCGATGCTCCCTATCTTGGTAGGAATTTATATTCATACATGTAATAATGAGAAGGCTATCACGTTGTGGCATGTCAGGAAGTGGGAATATGAACTCGTGGTGGTCTAGACCTGTGATGCCTACATGGACTGTTAGCTTTCAAGTAGAGATAAAATTGGAGGAATTTGCGCCTACAAATTACTTCCACCCGAGACTTTTTCAGCATAAATGTAACAGAAATCCAGTTGGTAGAGGCTTGTGTTGTGTGTCATTTCAGACTTGAGAATGTTGAATCCAGTCAGCATATGATCAGTATTGGGGCTACTTTCCCCGTGTGAGATTATTGGAAAATTCAGCAACTGCCAAAAATCGAGAATATGACCTTGTCCGTACAGACAAAAAAAAGCCGTCCAGTCTGAAGAAGTGAAAAATGCAAATTACTGTCCCTAAATTTCCTGAACGTCATGTCCTGAAATGTTTACTTTCAAGCTTACATGATTTTTGTTTTTTCCACATGCCTGCCTAGGTGCCTAAGTCAGCGAGATTGTTGTACGGGGTGAACGAAACGACCGGTGAGCGACACCCTTACCCGTTGGTTTGTGTCCACAATGTGTATGTCTTTCCCGGTATACCGAAGCTTCTCAGGAGAGCTTTCAAATCGCTCAAGGTGAGTATCTGTCTGGATCCCAAGTCAGGAAGACTTCTCTCACGAAGTCTGTGACTCAAATCAGACACTAGCCCGAGTCTCAGGCATTTTGAGATATCTGGCATGTGACTCAAATCAGACAATAGCCCGAGTCTCAGGCATTTTGATTGAGTTCTCAGATCAGAGTGAGATATCTGGCATGTGACTCAAATCAGACACTAGCCCGAGTCTCAGGCATTTTGAGATATCTGGCATGTGACACAAATCAGACTCTTGTCCGAGATTCAGTCATCAAAAAATAAAAGCGCTGGCAGACTTAAGCCCGAGTCACCAAAAAGCGTGGCTTGAGTTAACCCAAAATAAAATGAGTCAAGTTGTAACTGAGTCTGAGCATCTAACGGATAAAAATGAAGTTCATAGAAGACTGGTATTGGTTGTCGCATTGCGCACCCTAGACTGAGCTGTTCCAGCGTGCTGACATGTCATTCCACATGCGAGAGATTTACATCAATCACTGGGAGATGGACGTAGCAGACATTCTCAACAACTTCAACACCGAGTACAAGGACACTGTCCTACTGGGCTCCTACCCCGAGCTTGATCACAGGTGAGCGGAAGAAGAGGATGTGACCTTTCACCTCTTTGCATCGTGAATAATTAATGATAAAAACAAATCTGTTTTTGAGAATGTTCTGGAACAAGCATTAAACCCACAGTAGAATTTTTAATATTGATCTAAGCCACACTTAATACGTGTCACTGGTTCCTCCATCCCCCGTGTTCGTTTGACATTTGGGAATACAGGCATGAATACCGGGGAAGGCATAGTTGTTTGCCTGTTAAACAGTGAGATAAATAATGGACTGGTTCCCCGACCCTCCATTATATCCTAGACTAAAAAATACGAAGCAGGAACCAGTCTGGATGTTTGACGCCCCCCTGTATTTCCTCTTAATTTGAAGAAAATTTCCACCTCAATTGAGGAAATTCTAAAACCATGAAAATTGTGCATTTGAATTCACTTGGGAACAAGTATATTATATCCTCGTGTAATATTATATTATCTTTATTGACAGTTTTTATCATTGATTTGTGGTTTTTCCCAGCTATTTCAAAGTGAAGTTAACTCTAGAAACGAACAGCCAGGAGACTGTCGACAAAGCACATGCTAAACTCATTCAAATGCTTCCAAAAGGTGGGATATCTTTTCTCTTTTACGCTTTTTGGCCCCAAGTAAAGGTAACTAACGTATTTGATATTTCATGTTGACCGCCTACTTTCCGTTTGTAACAAAATATTCGTATATTGGGATCCAGTTGGATCCTGTGACAGCAACCTCTCCACACCTCACTGCCCTCTACACACCGTATAAGCTGTCTAATCACTGAACCCTCTGCAGTCTCCTGACGATGGACAGTGCATACTGTCCGAAGCATTGAGTACCACCGGTTCTTTTCAGAGCCCCACATGCTCAAAAAGAGAGATACCCCTATATGGGTCATTCCATGAAGTTCGGGCACTGTTTGTGACGGCGTCCCTTGTTACATCGGTAATTTTAATGGCCCATTATTTTCATATTACAACAGATTAAGTCATTATTATTCAGCAAAGATGAAGCCCATCACTACATGAACCTAGCAAGATTTAGAACAATGTCAATTTAGAATCCACATGCAGGGACAAAAGATGTTTATTTTCACTGATGTAACAAGGGACGCCTGGACTACATGTGTGTGCAAAACAAATGGAGGTTTGGCGTAATGAAATGCTCGCTGCAGATAGATCAAGGGGCACTCAATTTTGTAACCTGTCATTTGTGCCTCTGTGTGCACAGATAGCCAGATGTCGTTAATGTGTCCTTTGGTGCTTAGTGTTCAACCTTAGAAGGCCTGGGAGGGGGTGGATCCGCCTCCTCGGAATTTTTACGAGTATCGCTGCAGGGCACTTTTTTCAGGAGCTTAGTTTTTACGGAGCTTTAGAGGAAATCTGTAATTTGGACAGCAACTTGATGAAAATTGAATAGTTATACCATTCTTGTGTAGTGTGCAATCTTCAATTCATCTCCCCCTCCCGGCTGTGAGATGGGCCAAAATATCTGGGCTTTGAGGGTAAATCGAGGTCATTTCTTTACAGAGTTTATCGTCAGTTACGACAAGGACCCGGTAGGCAACTCGGTCCAGAGGTTACAGCAGCTTCTGGTGGCCCCTGAATCAGCACATATTTCGGGTTTTGTGGGCCCCGCAATGAGCATAGTTGAGGAGGCCCTTGACCGGTACCCCTTGTCGTCTATCTGTCTCGGTTTCAACGGAGGTAAAGATTGCACGGCGCTCCTGCATCTCGTCCACACAGTTATAAAAAGGTATACTTTGTTTTTCTTTTTCCATCCGGACATTGATTTCAACAGGGGTGCTGAGTTTCAGGCTGTCCGCTTCATATGTGGACAAGAGATGGCTTAGGCTTAGTCGATTTGTATAACTGAATATTCATATGTTTGAATTTCGATTCATTTGGGTTGTACCGAGCTCCCAGAAAAGTTGAAATAAACATTTTTTTTACGAAAAGTAACAAAAGCAAAACTTTAGAAAAGACTTTTTGGCCTTATTGTTTTTTGTTTAGCTGGCTTTAGAATGCAAGTTTGTACCCAAATCATGTAGTTTTTTCTCTTCTAGGTTATTGATTTTTACCGCAGAATAAGTGATTTTGAAACTAAATATTTAAGCATTTGGTCAAGGACCGAATATTCCAATAATCAGCATACCCCAGAGATGGTGTACTTTTTAATACACAACACACACAGGGGCACTTACGTTTGGCCAGCAGCACGCTCAGCACGTACGACCCTCAGAATTTACTGTCTGTGTGTGCCTGCCAGGCGCTCATTACAATATCCCTTACCAGCTAGTCGATTCTTCAGCACGGAGCAGAATGTCAGAATTGCTGCCGTTTTATTTTAGAATAACGAAACTCTGGTATTCCACCTCCACTCAAGACCTGAGAGAGTAGCAGATGAGTTGAACAGCTCTCGTCACTTCTATGTAAACTTGTAACAAGTTTCCGTTTTGCCGTTAGGAAGTTGCCACAGCAAGAAGAGCCGTTGCAGATTTTATACGTCGACACCAAGCGCTCGTTTCCAGAGCTGGAGACTTTCATCACCGAATCCGTCCAGAGGTAGGCATGGTGATGCTGTGTTAAACAGAAAATTTGACCGGAGCAGGATTCGAACCATTGCCCAGCAGAAAACCACACCAACACTCTACCAGGTCGAAGCAAGTCTGATCATGCACTGATTTCTTTTTTAAATCACAGATCAACCTGTCTTGACTAGTGTGTGGTGAAGTCCCGCTCAAATGTCTTCAGCAGAAATTCATTCGCAAAATCACATTTTGACCATCATTAATTTGCTTATTTTCATTCACTCTTGACGGTGTTCAGCAGTTTGATGATTTTTTCACCATTTTGCATTTGTTTTCATGTCGTTGGTTCCCCCCTGCACTTAACGTTGGAACAAAGCTGTTGGAAACGTTGCTTACCACAGAATTCCGCGCTTACAATCTCCATTCTGCGCTAACCGCGCAAGCAGAAAAATTCTGCGCTAACCCTTAAAAGCACAGAATCCTTAGTTTAATGCGCGCAAGCCAAAATTCCTTACTAACCCATGAAATACGTTTGCAGCGCCGTGAAATTGGGCCGAGGTGATTATTTCATGGATATTCATTTGCCTCCAACTCCACCCCTGCTCAGTTTCCATTTCTTATAAAGGCATTGTATGACTCTAAGTGTGGAAAGGTTCTCGCGATTTGCCAAATACATCGCAAAGCCTGTGTAATACTTCAAAGTCAGAGGGAGGTCGCTCGTGCTACTTTTAAAATCTTAAAGGAATCTGGCTAAGTGCAAATTAATCAGAACATTGAAATTCTTCAACCCACATAATGTTCATTTTCAACGGGATGCCAACATGATTGATACATCTAAACAAGGAGTTTGTTTTGCTCTTTCTAGCACAGCTTGAAACTAAACTGAAACTTCACCTTAAGACTCAGTTTGTAAGATCTATGGTCACAGTGCCGTTTTTTCATTTTTTTTAGGTATAACCTGAAAGTATTGAGGGTTACTGGACCTATCAAGGAGGCTTTGCAAGTGTTAAAAGAGCAGAACCCCCGAATCCAAGCGGTTTTCATGGGAACGAGGCAGTCCGATCCATATGCAAGTAAGTCAGTGAAGAAATGAGGTGCTAGGAAGCAATGTGGTCCTTCCAACAGGGCATGTACAAAGCTAAGTGCAGTCCAGGTCATTTTGGAACTGCAAAATGCCTGCAGGAAGTCTTCCTCGATCAGAGTAGCCATGTGACAACTCACACGCCTGTTTTGTCGTGATGTTGCCTTGGTTTTTCATAAGAGCAAACTGGCTCATTCGCAGAGCCATGAGGGTTGCGACATGAGTGTCACCATTGTCAGAAGCCATCTGGCAGGTGTATGCATCAGTGCCCATGGACAGTCGATATAAAATAGCTAGTCACTCCAAAGCACACATAAAGAGCAGCCATTTTGTCTCCAAAATCTGAAGCCAGCGCTACTCATTTTATATACACCTTTGCCCATTCATAGTGCAGAGCGCCACCAAGGGTTTGCCATAAGAGGCCACTTTTCAGTCTCTTAGTTGACGCCTCGTATATTTTCCTGCAGTCTAGGCAACTCAATCCATTTTGTCAGCCTAGGTGGGAATTGAACCCATGCCAATCGGACTCCAAATGTTTGGTTTCCACCTCTAGACCAGCTGGGTGCCTTCTCGATGACAGACAGCAATTGGCCACAGTACATGCGCGTCAATCCCATGCTGCATTGGAGCTATCACGACGTCTGGGAATTCCTCCGAACGTTGTTCGTGCCGTACTGCAGACTCTACGACAAGGGGTAAGAGTGTTTGCAGATAACCTAATATTGCTCCGTCAGATAAATTCCATCCGTGACCAAATTGACATTGATTTTACTTTTTGGCTTGGGGATTCGCGGCAAATGAAGTTAAACAAGTCAAAATGCTTCATCTTCAGTATGAAACAGAAAAGGCCTTTTCAAATAGACAAACTTTGTGGTTGATGTAGAGTTGGAAACTGGCAATGATTCACACTTGAATCTTCCCAGACCAGGGTTGAGATTTTGTCAACTCAGGTTGAAAAATCGTTCGTGCTCATCTCCGGGATGAACGTGCCCCAACAAGCTCGATTCGCATGAACCAATGTAAAACAAGGCCAATGTTCAACTCTGGCTTGAAAAATCAAATTTTCAACCCAGGTCAGTCATAGGTTCATCCAGGGTTGAATTTAACCCAGGTTGAGATTGTAGTGTGTAAAGACCTAATAGAGACTTTGCACGGCAGCCATCTTGTTGGGCAGTTCTTTTGTTCCACAAGGAAGCTTCGATCCTTTGTGTATACCATGTGGAACCAAAACACTGGCCATCAAGATGGCAGCAATGCAAACCTCTGTAGTGTGAGGACTTTTGGGGTGTGGTCACCCAAGAATCTTGACCATTCTTGTTCTCCGCCTTGGCTCTTCAGCTACACGTCAGTGGGCAGCAAGGAAGGGACGGACCCCAACCCAGCACTCCGCTACATCAACAGCCGAGGCGAGGTGTGCTACCATCCTGCCTACATGCTGCAAGATGGCACAGACGAAAGGACAGGACGGAAACGCTCAGTCAGTCAGAGCTGCACCGACACCAGTCCATGACACAGTGCCGAGGCATGTGAGGTCACTGGCGTACCTGCCGTTAGATTTAGAACTCTCCCGAGTTTTAAGTTTCCAAATATAGGGTGTTTCGATTTTCATGAAAAGGGGGAAAAATTAAAGAAGTCTTAGCAAAAGAGGGCACTCCTTTTAGAGAAAAGAGGGTACTAGTTTCAGAAGAAAAGGGGGCGATATTTTCAGAAAAAAGAGGGTGCTTGTTTTAGAAAAGAAAGAGGGCGCTATTTTCAGAAAGAAGAGGGCGCTATTTCCAAAAGGAGGGTGCTAGTTTCACAAAAAAGAGGGCGCTATTTTCAGAAAAAGCACTAGTTTCAGAAAAAAGAGGGCGCTATTTTACGAAAAAAAGAGGGCGCTATTTGCTATGTCAAAATGGCAGTTGTTATACATACATGTGTGTGCACATGTACAAAATATCTTCCCTCGCATGGCTGCTCATCTTGCTTAAGACTCCTGAAATTGTTGTCCAGACATTTTTCAATATTGCCATGTATGCACCAGAGCACCCGCTCTTCGGTCGAGTTTGGGCGGCCTGTTCTTGACACGGGCTTCTTATTTTTGCGCTCGAACGGCAGGAACACGAA